CAAAATTGCTTTTTGAAATCCATTTGTGGATGCTGATTAGAAAAGGCTAGATAAGCCACTGCTCAAGCGGGAGCTCGTATAACTCACTAGCGGACGAGAAACTCAACTTTGAAGTCCCGCCCATACCGTAGCTGTACTCTTGGAGTACGGTAGAAAGTACTGTCTGGGCGAGTGTTCAGGGAAAGTTCTTGGCTACTAATAAACCATATCGGAAGCCGCTTGGGCATTCTTAGCTAATAGCTTCAAAATAATTTTCATAGGAAACCCGCGTACCCAGATTTGAAATTTCCGACTTCTACCTCTCCATCATAACCAATGGCTAGTGTGCATTGTTGTATCGTGCTTTTTATTATGATACAAAAGTTATTCCAAATTTCTTCCACTTCAAAAATAAAAGCGCTTAGGTATAACTTTTTGAAATTATAACTCTCCTCATAGTACTAATGTCCTTCTTTCGTAAAGTCTTCTTGTGTTTTCGTTTATTGTGCCGTTGCTCATTGTCTCCATGGCACCAAGAAGCAAAAGAACTAGACGAAAACGTTTCGTAGCGTAACCAACGCCTGAGTGACTAATATTAGCCCCCGATGTCCGTTGCTGACCTTAGCTGGTGGAAATATCTGAACTGGAACGTTACTAAATGTACTAAGTACGATGACTTGAATACTGTCTCGTGGACTACTGATTGTGAGTTTGAAAATGTTAGTTATTGAATTTTTAAAGCCTATCCTCAAAATTTTTAAGATTACCTTTTCTAAAAACGGCATTTAATTAATCCCAAAGAAACTTGACTAGATGCCTCCGAATTTCTTGGATTGGACATAACAGCATTTTCTCTACATAAAGGAAAACGATCTTGATTGCGCTTTTTGAAAATTTTGGAATACTTCCATAACTCTTAGTTTAGACTGAGCCAGGACAATTATTTACTTCATGACAAATTCTTGAAATCATAAATAAACCAGTCACTTGCATTATTTCTGTTCACTTAGTTATTCTTAAAGGTTTGTTGCAAAACAGATAACAGAGTATTTGATATCAAATGTCCTTAAGCTTGAAATTGTTCTTATTCTGAGCTCCAAATCTATCTCTTTTTAAGGAATAATTTGCTAGAAAGTACCCTATTTTACTTTTCAGGTAACTCACAAAGTGCTGCAGTTTTCGGCTCAACGTGCTGGTTGGTCATAGGCATCTTGGGTGCAATTCTATTGCTTTGCTTATTAGTTTTTGGATATGCAGTTTATGCATACAGGCAAGAAAGTGAGTTGAAATTTCTCATATGTTGAGAGAAAAAATAGGAAGCAATGTCACTAACAACAAGTTCTATGCACAGCATTCTTACAGGTGTTTATCATGTACATTTTTAGGTAAAACTCTCAGCTATAAACTCAAGGAGATGGAAAAGACGCTACGCGCTCAGAATGAGTTCTTCACAGCTAAACTGCATGCTCAAATGGAGGAACAAATAAAACTTGGTGAAAAACATGCCGAGGAGTTGAGAAAACACAACGAGGCCATACAGGTACTGCAATGCTCATATTTAGTCTAAATTACTTGATAAAAATTTAGATGGCTCAAATCGAAATTCAAAGACAACATCAACTGTCAGCGGTTCCGCCTGTGCAAGCCGCTCAACCTCAACCAATAATCATTCCGTATCTACCTTCAAATGCTGGTCAGCTTAAGAATAAATAATTTCCCAAAATTGTGTTGATACGATGACTGAGATCGATACTATGCTCTTAACATCATGCAACCATAAATAAACTAAATGGTTCATACAGCATCAACTTTTGACATTTTTCTTTACTTGGAGACAATGATCAAGAAAACCTGGGCACTTGAAGTTTCTTATGCGGGAAATTGAGGGGATTTACCTGAGCCATTGGGCAAGAAAAATAGTTTAGCATTTGTTCGGGGCGATGATGCCGCCACGTGAATGTTTTTGTTAGTTTCGGCATCACAGTCGCAAAAGACGCTTCCTAAATTATCGGAGAGCGTCTATCACCACTCCCCTTCACGAAAATTTTTTTCGCCCTCCATGACCCCCGAAATACTCGGATCGCCGCTCGACGGGTTATTGCTGCTGGGAACTTCAACAAGACTTGTACCTCCACAATTATGTCCGACTCCTATGTTCATTTATTTACATTTGTACTCACGATGAACCGAATCGAATGATAAAACAATAAGCTAGTGCAAAGAAGTCTATATTTTACTATAAGTCTTGATCCTTAAAGCTAGGGCTTTGTTAGACTATGAGCTCCCATCCATGGCGATATCTTAATGACATATAAGAAAATATAGCGTAAATGTGTGATTTATCGTACGCAATACCACGACATGGTTTAGCTGTTACTCAGCAACCACAGCAACCAGGATATGCTATAACACAAGGAAGTGAAGTCTTTGATGGACGAAACACTAATGCTTCAATGGTCAGTTCAGAACTACTACTACAGCTCTAAAAGGAACTTTTTCATTTTCAGAACAATCACGAACGTAGCTACATTCAAAGAGGCGATCTCATCAAGGGGGAAACAGGGATCTTGCATGTGGAAGGAAAAGAAATGGATGGTCAAACAAGCAAAAGAGGTAAGAATTTCTTATTTGTCGCAGCGTGGAGATCCAGTCTCGCCCAGTACAGTACTCCGGCACCTTGATCAGTCCACTCGGAATGGATACGGTGTTAGGCTATAGACTAAATTTCTAGAGGAAGAACCTTGACTTAATAAATCCATCACTCAATTTCCACACATGAAACTTACTTAGATAAAG